TTTAACAGCTTTGGTATCCATCTGTGAAATGTCATTTCTCTTGGTTCCATCCTATAGCTCAAACAATAGGAAAATCACACATCCATCCCTGTAAAAGTCTACAGTTTCTCTATAATGTATGGGCACTCAAGCTACGCTAATTTATTCTACAATTACTTTATTTCTTAGCATTTTTATTTGACTCTTATACTACATAATTAATGGTGTTTACACGGAAAGGTTGTTTAACTAATGTAAATGGCATAAGTGGATTACTTGAGCAAGCCTTAAAACAAATAAGCATTTTTCCCCTTTGAATTTTTTCACTCTCCTCTAAATGTCTGGCATAAGAGCAGAGGTTTGGTTTTGTTTTTTAATGTTAAAGGGGATATAGAAATCAGGTTTCTGAGGTCCATTTTTTGCTAGTAGGACAGGCTTGTAATTCTGCTTCTTCCTCCAATGGTTGGCATAGAGGTAGGCAACAGTGACCCAATGATCGAACACATCCCAGATTCAGAAGCTCATCTTTCTTTGGGAGGTTGCCACCGTTTTCCTCCATGACCTTAAACATAATCTAATATCTGGCCTTTTCAGATCATTTCCTGTAGCTGGCAGCACCTAGAGTGACAAATATGCTCATCATGAAGACCAGAAAAACACCAGGGAACTCCTCCAAGGCTTCTGAATATTTCTACCATCATATCACCCAACTGTGGCAATCACTGATAGTCCCTCCTAGTCAAATTCCAGCTCCCATGCTCTTTGAGTGGCAGCACCAATCCAGGTTACTCTCAAATAGGACAGGCATGGCAACCAGTCCCTGACAAGACATTATTTTTTGAAGCATTCTGAAGGAAACACTGTGATACTAACAGCCATTTCTTTACTTCTGCTTTCTCAGAGGCAAAGGGGAAAGAGTGAAGCCACCACCTCCAACACGCTCCTGAGGCCTCAAATGGAAGGCCCGACTCCAACTCCAAGTCATTTCTGGAAGAACAGATAGCATATCATCTAAAGAACACGAATTGTCTCAGGAGTTACAGAGACCTGGCCTTTCAAGCAGGCTTTTCCTAGAGCTAGGCTGAAGCCTCTGACATATCCACTGAGCGAACAGTCTTGAGGTCTAAAGTAGTCTCAGCTTCCAAAGTAGTCAGAACACAAACAGCTACTTCTGTTCTCAGCACAAACACTAGAAGACAATACATAGGTCAAAGGCCTAAGAAAAGAATATTTGTAATTTTGCTTTTGAAATTATTTAGCTAAAGTAACCAATAAATACACTATGGTGTCTCTGAATTCATCACATTGTAGCAGCTCTCATAAGTTCAGCCTGTCTCAGTGGAGAGTTGTTTTCAATGAATGCTACATCAAGCCCTTAGTGACACCCACACAGTGTTCTTCTTGGCTACCCTTGAATAAATATTTATAATTTTGCTGTGGCCAATTTTTTTTTGAGATAATAATTTTCCCTGTTAAAACTCCAAAATCTTCTCAAACAAAGGCCCTATGCTTGGCACAGGAAGGTAGGAAGCTTGGGCCTAGAGGCCAAGCTGTTCTGGAATAAAAGCCCTAACAGACATTCCCATTGTGACTGGGCTCTGACAATGGAATCTCAAGGGATTTCCAGGAACTCGTACTCTCAAGTGAAACTGTTTGTATTTGTATAGATCCAAGTCTAGTGCTACCATTTAAACTGTACTAACCACCCAAAAAATATCTTCCTAATTAAACAAAAACGCTGGAAATGAACTTTGTCTCCTTGGGGAAATTTTCCTGTAACCAACGCTGCAAATCTTTCATTGTGACCTTTGAGAAAACCATTCATCTTCAGTTTGCAAAATTAAATTTCATAAACCCAACTGACTATACGAAGCTTCATTTCCCCCACAAAATAGAAATGAAATTTGGAAGGTGACCTGGAGTTAACATTTCTAGGAAGCTTTTCTATCACTCCACAAATGCTCTATCAAGATACTTATAACTAGGCACAACATTAGTTCTTAAGAAATACTCTATTTGTAATTGTTATATAGAGTAGCATTTTCCTACTCAGAAAGCTTAGGATTTACCAGAATGTATTAACAACAACAATAAAAAAAATCAAAGTCTGTTTAAAGGTCCCAAGTCTTCCTTTGGCTGCTAACAAATGCTCAAGTGATAAAGCATGACCTTGAAAAGTCTTCTTTCAAATTGTGTCCTCTACCAATATCATATAATCAATATGGTTTGTTTAAGGGATTCATTACTGACCTTTTTTTTTTTTTAATTTTAAAGCACTGAATACAAAGTGATTTTTGTTCAGCAATGAGCCCACAGTTACTGGCAGCTGAAATGGAATTCCGATGAGCTAGTTTCTATCTGTGAGGATACGGGCAAGTGCTTAAGCCTCCATTTCATCATCTGTAAAATGGTACTACATAAGACGGTTCGCAGGATCAAATATGCTAACGAGTACCAAGATTTGGGTGCGCAATCAATAAATTTAATTTGAGCATTATTATAATTATTCCCCATCATTATCGCCACACCTGGAGCCTAGAAGACTTAGTCACCTCCTGATGGCCCTTGTCTGTCCCACCCATACTAAGCCATTATCTTCCCAAAGCTGAGAGATCCTTTTAGAGAACAGTAACAATTATTCCAGCTTCCCTTTCTGCAGAGAGACACAATCAATCAGAAAATATTCCAGCTGCCCTTAGCTCAAGCCTGTTCAGCTACGGGGTCTGACTCGGACTTACACTGCTCTGCCTCTTTTCACCACTCTAACCCCAACTCCTTCAAGCGTTAGCTCTACTAGTCAGTTGTCTATGCACGGCCCAGGCCGCGCTCCTTCCTTCTACAGAGTTCTGTCCCTGTCCTAAGTCTGTCAGATGCCAGCACAAAAGCTGCTTCTCTAACTAGCTGACACTACCTTTTCACAAGTAATGTCCCTTCCCTCCAAAAACGCTTAGCTAAATAAATGGGTAACATATTTAAAGAATAATTTCCCCCATGTCTGTCTTGCCTACTAGATTGTCAACGTGGGGAGCTACTGCTCCCCGTTTTGCTCATCCTGTTCCTTAGAACCCAGTTCAGCTCCAACCCAAAGGAAGAGGAAGACAGTAAATACTATCTTAATAAGTAAATGAACCTACACAGGGAGAGGTTAAAATGGCCAGTCTCAAAATGTTGCCTCCCAGCCCCTAGGCTGTTTCCTAAACACACAAGGCCTCTTCCCTATTTCTTCCTTTCTTTTCTTCCACTTTTCTTTCCTTTCAACACGTTTTAGCTGGGCTGTCTTCAGGTACTAGGACTCAGGCACCGCCCACCCGGGGAAAGGAGAGGACCCGGACGGCAGGGCGGCGCCCCCGGGCCGGAAGTGCGGTGCGCGGCGGAAGTGCGGCGGGCGGAAGCGGCGGCCTGGCTGCCCGAAGCTGAGGTGGGTGATGGTGCAGGCGCTGCCGTGAGTGCTCCTGGCATCCCGGTGTTAGCGCGCGCCCGCAGGAAGAGGCCGGGAGCCCTCCGCACTGCGGCGTGCTGCAGGCTTCCCTCGCAGTTAGCGGGGATTTAATTAAGCCGGGAGCTATAAATCCCAGAGCCGCTGGGGGGAGATTGTAAACGCGCGCCTGTGATGGCGCTCTGGGACCTGAATAAATGACGGAAGGGAAAATACAGCTTTTCGAAGAAAGCAGAAAATGTCTCAGCTCATGCTTCTTCCAGTGATTCACAGATGCCCTGGTCCCGGGTTTAATTGAATCCTATGAAGTGGCAATATCACACTTGACAGCCTGCTGAGTTGACTGCCTTTTTAAATAAATGTTTTTGAGCGGCCATGTTGACCTTTAATCGGGGTGAAAAGGTTGAAAGTGCAGGAAGGAACACTGTGAGTGCCGGGCCTCTCTGGACCTGGCTGTCTGGACCTCATCTTTGCTTTATTGGGTAGAAGCAGCCCCCTGGGCCTGTTGACAATAAAAGAATAAATCAGACCTCATGGTTCTCAACAAGTACTTAGCCCTGTCACTCACCCCTGACAAACACCAACTAAAACAATTTTTAATAAGTCCAACGGTAAAAAAGTCTCTGATAGTTGCTACTAGTGTAACTAGGTATCCGATTGTTTTTAAGGCTCTCTTTAAGTGGGTTTTTGCCTGACTAGTCTTTATCCTTATTAATTACGTATATGTGAAACTATATTTTAGTGCTCTTAAAAACAAACAAACAAAAACTGGGTGGTCTAGCATGATCCAAAGAGTCTCACTTTTTTAAATACAGGGATGGTGCACAGAATTTGCTATATCCCAAAACTAGTAGTACGTTCGTTTCTCAGCCTAATATGGGCTTCTGTAGATATGTGTTGCTTGGTTAACTAGTTGTTCCTGCTGTCTCTGTAGAGATGGCCCTTAGAGGCCTTAGTGGTCTCATTTGGTAATATTTTGTGGAATAGCTGATAAGAATGCACATGATGCCCTCTACCAATATCTGGAGGTGTACACATGAAGTGTGTAATAGGTCAACAGCAGAGGATAAAGGGAGAACACATGGCGCTGGTGCCTGCCTCTAATCCCAGAACTGCGGTTTAGGCTGACAGATCTCAAGTTCTGGACCAGCCCTCAAGACATAGTCAGACCTTGTTTCAACAAACAAACCGCCACCAGCAGCAGAGGCATGGAAACAAGTCTGTCCTGGAAAATGCTGAGTTATTGTTTCGCTGGGATGAGGTAGAACTAATCGTGGTTCTACATGAGATGTTGAAACCTAATCCTGGGTGCTGCTGTACTGAAGAATTGCCTGAAACCAAAAGGCCCAGTTGTAAAAATTAAAACTTGTGGGCTGCTCTAAACAGGCCCCAAGTTTGCTTCCTTGTTGGCTATGGCCCACTTGAAGCTACCTGCCAGAAAAGGATCAATAATTTTTGTCTCTTTTGCTAGAGGAATGTGTAGCTATGTAATTTTATTTAGACAGGCTATTGGCAGGTGAGTAATAGGAACGGATATTTTTCTAACTTGGAGAATTTATTGAGCTGTGTTTGTATTTTGTTCCAGTTACCTGGCTGAATTCTACTCACAAGGACCCTGCACCCAGAGGCACTATGGAGAAATGCCTTTAAAATAAGTTTGTTTTAATTAAGGTTTTTGCATTTCTTACTTTGTATATATTCTACCTGGCCAATATGTTTAGTTACTAATGCTCATGCTTGGGACTTCAAACATAGTAAGGCACTGAGGTAATATGGTATGAAGTAGTGCAAGTTTTTATGTTTCTTATTGTAAATCTAATTTTTTTGTTCTGCTTTATTCAGGGAATATCAGAAGAAACCAAAAGCCATCTGGACTAGTTCCTGAATGAGATTTTTCTTCCTGTTTGCAGTTGTTTTGAAGGAGGATACTGTCTGGATCAGGTATTTGTGGCTATACAAGTAGCAGGACCAAGTGAGCATCTACAAGCCTTTCCTTTGTATATTTAGCAAGTGCTAGCCATTCAGGGGAAATGTGTAAAATGAAAAGCTGTGCCTGATTAACATAAACTCCATCCACGTCCCCAAATCCCATTCCTGTGCAGGTAGGCACAGGGATCAGGAAGCATAAAGACTCTATTCTTCTTTTTCTGGTTTTTATGCAAGACTTAACTTCCCAGAGATGTGAGAAAAATTTTAAATGACTGCTGTTTTTAGAAAGTTTCAGAGTTTGGCTCCTGATTCTATAGTCTGGAAGATGCAAATCCATTGATGCTGAAGTATTGACAAGTGTTCCCCGGCTATGGCCCATCACACTTGGATACCAGAACGGGAACCAACCATGTGCAGAAGGGAACGACATTAGTTCCCCACCCCCCTTTATTTGCCATAATATTCCATGATCAAGTATCTTCTGGGTCACTTCTTAAAGCTTCTGTTACCTTGCCATTGCCATTTTGGGGATGGAGTGTCCCGACAGTTGAACCTGCTCAAAGGGTATCCAACGCACAACGTCAGTAATGACTTTACTAGTCTTCATTACTGTGCTGTTGTGTTGTCGGCCTTCGTCTGCCCCAAGTTCCGTAAGGGCAAGGACAGTGTCATATGTTTATAGTGTTTATGTTTATAGTTCCTGACACACTGCGAACACTCAGTTCATGCTATCTATAGATTTGAAAAGGCAGTGCCCCTGAAGGAAGGCTACACCTATAAAGAACATGAAAACATCTCCGGGGAAGCAGCAGAGGGGAAAGAAGGAAAACAAGAATCACCATCCAGGGAGTGACTGAGTGCAGTCAGAAGTAATGTGTTGATTAACAGCTTGGATCGGGGAAGGGTATCTTTGAAAATCCACAGATTGTTGCCAAACCGCCTTCTAAGCAGATCCACCCCAAGAATTGTAGAGCATTTATTGTGTTGAGTCGAATATGCAGGCTGAAAGGCCCAACAGCTCTCTGTATCTATACTTCTTCCAGACTTAGCATGCTCAGTGCTTCACCCAGGTATCTGTTCAGCAAATATGTGAAGAATTATCTATGAAAGGGTGCTAAATTACTAACTTACCCAGGCTACCAGCATCTTGGTTTGATCCTGTCTCAAGTCATGTTACTATTTTAAACTAAATTGCTCAAATAATAGTGACGAAAATTCACAGGGTTTTTTTGTTTGGTTGGTTTTGTTTTTATGTTTTGATTTATTTTTCCTCTTTTATTAACAACATGCTGGTAGAGTTCAAAGGTCTCAACTTTTTTTAAAATGTATTTTTTAATGTGATATATATATTTAATATAGCTTAATTAATGTTATCTATTGATTATTATTCTATGTTATAGAATATTAATATATAAGTAATATATTTAAGTTATATATAGATAGAGTAGGACAGTGTGAGCTAACAGTGTTTCCTTCTGTTAATTTGACTGCATCCAAAACCAGAACGTTACAGCTGTAACAAATAAATTTTCTCTTACTGTTCCAGCATTCTCATACTAATAATGAAATAATTGGAAAATGGGGTTTAGTTCAGTCAGGAGGAAAGGGCATGACATTGAATTATTTGATTTTTACTTATTAATATATATGTTTTTGGTAAGCTAAGAGAAAGAACAATATTACGTTACTTGATAGAAAGTCAGCTGAGGCCATCTGAAATATGGAAAAAGAGGTCTTTATGTTCAAATAGAAACTAATGTGAATGTTGTTAGATTTAGAGATCAGAGCCCTGTTTCATACTAAGAGAATTTTCTATCTGAAACTCAGTCCTTCTTTCTTTTCATGAACCTTAAAATAGCCTTAAACAAAACATATAAGCATATGCCCTTGTTCAAGGAAAAAATTAGCGTAAACAAAAATATAATCTATAAAAGAATTAAACATAGTTTTCTTATCTAAAGTCGATTTCCAGTTCCAAAATATCAAAATATTCTGTTAATAGCTGTGAAACAAACAAACAAAAACAAACAAAAAAAAAAACAAAATAAGACTCAGGCAATTGTAGAATCCTAGCACAACTCAGAGTTGCCAAGACCTGGTCACACAGTAAATAGTTCTCAACATTCAAATTAGACTCTGTACTGAACAGGCTTATGACTTATTGCTATTGGAAGACTAATGAATTATTGGACTTGAAACAAAATGGCTTACAGGTCTTGGGTGGTCATCTTTGAAAAGATAAATTGGAAATGAATAGAATATTAGTGATAAATGGAAGACATTTTGAATTGTAAACTTGTTTTTAGCAATGAAACTGGTATTACTTTCCTGCCATAATGTGACTAAAATGTTTTTAATGAAATTGCCTTCTTTCTGAGTCAGTATTAAATATCAGAGGAACTAGGTCATGTTGGCTAAGAAGGATAATGTCAAAGGAGTCTGCATAATTCCTTATGCATTTTGTTCCCATTCTTTGAACTAGATGGCTTTGCCCTCAATCTTAATGCTATCTTTATGGGAGGATGGAATTTTCAAATTGGTTTTTAAACTCTGTTAAGCTCTTACGTCCAATATAAGCTAACCACATTATTTAGGTTTTCCTGCTTTCAGAAATGGGTATGCAGCCATTATGTCATAATTGAGCCAAACATTTTTGCACACTCTGAATGACCGTGCTGCTCTGGCTCTAGGCCAGTTGCTGAGTCAGTATCTTTGGGGTTGAGGAGAGAAGAGGAGGGCTGCATGTGCAGACCCCATTGTGTTAATCGGTCCAGAATTCCCTCTGGACTCCTAGTGCCATGAAGCACATGCTATGAGTTTTCTTGTTTAGCACTGTTTTATTTTTCTCAGCTGGATGTTTTCATGGAAATCTTTCCTTGGCATTGTCACATGCACCAATCCCTTTACCAAGTAGACTCCTCTGAAGTAATGATCTGGAAGGAGTAATTACAAAGTTCTAAAGATTCTAAAACACTCTTGCATGCACTGAAGATTCTTTCCTGCTACACATCTGTCAGCTTACCACAGGTCAAGGCAAAGGCAACAGTGCTTCTGCATGTGGGGAGGAATGCCAAGAGGAGGAGGAGATGTCATTTACAATAACACATTATGTATGTCTAGTAGTATGTCCAACTCCCGTGATTAAACAGTTTCCAGATGAGTGCCAGGCCACTCTGGTATCAGCTACCCCATTTCCCAGCTCATTGCTTTCAGAAGCCGCTGCTTCCCAGTTCTAACTAAAGAGTGGGAGAGAAACAAAACAAAACAGTTGACAGTAAGCAAGTATATTTACACTTGGGCATGTATCTCAAAGAGAATTCTGGTCTTCTGTACAGAGCTACATATTTTCAGCTTTAGAAGACAGAAACTTGTTCAAGGCCTTGGCATGGGCCATTCCTGTGCTATTTCTTTAGTATGGGATTGCTCTTTCTTGGATAACAAGGACATTTGAGACCTAAAGCCTGTGAACATGCTTCTCTTGAGTCTCTGGGAAATGAGAGGTCAGGATAAGTAGTAGACTTTCCATTTCACAGTTGGCAAAACTAAGGCTCAAAGAGATAAAGAGTTTTCCTGTGTCTTAGAACTTGTTTGTGGCAGTTGTATTTCTCTTTAGGTTCTGTATTTGTAAAATCTTCACCAAAAAAAAAAAAAGCATTGAGAGAATTCAAACATACAAAATTCGAGTGTAAACGCTATGTGAATTTGAACCTTTAGCTCTAAATGAACAGTTTTACTATTTATGCGTAATTACCCTCATTGATAAGTTTGAGTGTAAATTGTGTTTATTTAAAGTATTTTGATCTCTCCAGCAAGTTTATTCCGAACTGCTTAGGACAAGTTTTGTCTTTAAGTAATCTCAACTTAACACTTTCCTTAGGGGGCTTCTGTTCTGGTATACAGGGTTTGAGGAAATCATTAGTATTATAGTAATGACTACTTTTTCCACCCATGAAAATAAAGACAAGTCCAGAGAAAGGCTCACTGGAAGGGGGTTACCCTTTGTTTAAAATCTATCAATGGAAAAATGATTCTTGAAAAGCTCAGATTGGGTATCTTGGTTTGTAATTTTCTGAAAATTTCTGAGTGAATTAAGCAATGCCCTCATGCCTAAAAATGTGCTGTCTAGTCTTGCATGGACACAGTGCTGTCTTGTTTAAGTCGTATTCACAGTCTGAAATGTTGAGCTGCCTCTGAAGTATTTTTCAGTCCCGCAGCTTCTCACTTCTGAAACCACTGTTTCTAAGGATATAAGTCTTCTGTCTGGGGCCAGTAAAAACAAGGTTCCATCCCCCCCCAAAAAACCCCATTGTCATTATTTATAAAATGCCTCTTAGAATTAGTCTATAACCAAAAATTGAGATTGATTCTAATTTCTGTTTTGACTTACACAACTTTTTAAATGTTTTGTTCCCTTTAAGAGTTAACTTTTGTCTCCACTCTTTTCCTCCCATTAACTATCTCTGTCTTTACCAAAAACATGTTTTAAGTTGTTAAATTAGACAGGAACTGGTCAAGGCTGTCTTTTAGTAACTGTCCATAAATCCTAAATGATTTGAAGTCCTTGCCTTGTTACACTGTCTCCAGTCTTAGCCCATGGTACTCATCTTTCCCTTTCTCTTGCAATATTTTGTACACCCCTGTTGTTGTACCTCTTGTCTTTCTTGTTTACCTATCAGTGCATGCTAATATTCTGACCATATTTTCAGCTCTTTATGAATAAGGATCATGTCTTATTTACTTTCTTGGGGGGGGACGATCCAGACAAGGTTTCTCTGTGTAACCCTGGCTGTACTGGAACTCACTCTATAAACTAGGCTAGCCTGGAATCACAGAGATCTGCCTACCTCTGCCTGTCATTGCTGGGATTATCTTATTTACTTTCAACCATTTCTTTCCTTGCCACTGTGAAACTAATGAGCAAATGGTCATTAGTTTGCCAATACTATAAAGCGTGATATAACTTTTATCTCAATTAAGAATCACCCTTCTGAGCCCAGTGTAGTAGGCACGTGCCTTTAATCCCAGCACTCAGGAGGCAGAGGTGAGCTTGAGGCCAGCCTGGTCTACAAAGCAAGTCCAGGACAGCCAGGGTTCTGTTACACAGAGAAACCCTGTCTTGAGGGGAAAAAATCACCCTTCTGAATGCACAAACTTGATGTAGATATGTAGAATACTTGTTCTAGGATACATGAGGGAATGTGTAATGGCTTAACTTTACTGAGAATTAGAGGGGGTGTTCATGCATTAAATGGCAGGTATGTAAATTATAATTTTAATAAAATTGTAATCTTACTGTGTAGACAAGTTCTTTCCAAAAAGTTCTTGCAGACTGATTATGTGTAAATACAATTGAATGTAGCATTGATGGAATCTGAACATAGAATCCAGATATCCGGATCTCTATTCCATGATCTCTGGGGAGCCAAGGATGCCTTGAGTGAATGCATAAAGAGCAGATAAAGTCTGAGTGAGTGTGTATTGTTCACCTGGCACAAGAATGCCCCAGACCCATGGGAACCTGACAGGCAAACCAGCAGCTCAAACTACATAGTCAAAGTAAACCTGGACAGCGTGTTGTGCAGTGGCCTCCACATAGATGTCAGGAGCATTGCTTTAACACCTGTCTGATTTGGTACCACTTTCTTAGTCCCCAGGCCAGGTTCCAGGACTGTGGGAGGCTGAAGCCCTGGAACAGCACCCACATTAGTAAATTAAGGCCTTGCCTCCTGCACTCTATATTCTACTTTAACCCCTTGGAGTATCTGTTTACAGAGACAGTTGGGATTTGTCCCTGTATGGTGCTGTTCCTCATCACTTCCAGCTGCACAAGTGCCCTTCCCTTTCTCCTCTTCTTGTATTCAAGATCTTAAGTTAGGTTCCCATTTGTTCCCGAAAGGAGTGACTAGCAAATATAGCTAGTTGCAAACTCAAAGAGGAACCATCATTTGTTCCTCTTTCCCTATGTTAGATAGAACCCAGTGACCTGAGTCCTCACCTCATCACATGATTACAAAGCTTTCAGCATCCTAAAATATGGGGTTTCTTTTCAAAAGAAGAATGTGTGTTTCTTTTCATTTCATTTTTTTTTTTTTTTTTCAGAAAAATAGGACCGTTACACCTAGATGGTAGTGTATATGAAGTGGAGCATTTAACTTCTCACATGGCACAAATGACTAAATGGAGGCCTCGAGTTCTCTTTATAGAACACAGGTTCAGCAAGAGCTATGATAATAATGTTTGGTAATGTTAGCTCAGCATTAAATTTACATTATAGTCTTGTGCAGAAGCTCCAACATTATCTGCTAATAACCAAGGCGGTACCTGGGCTTATATAGACTTCTTGAGTTTGCTCATGAACTAACACTGCAGCTTGCTGATGAATGATTATGTGGACTTAGAGCTCTAGTGTGCCAAAGGACTCTTTGTATGAATAAAATTCTGGTCAGTGAAGGTCAGTTTCTCTACTCAAGCGAGAACGATGTTGTTTCCCTCCTAATCAGATGCACACAGTGTTTGAAAGATCCAGGAGCCCCACATAAGTGATGTGCAGCCAAAGCCTGGGCAGCTCGTCATGCTGAAATGAATAATCCTTAATAAAGGCTCAAACAACCATAGCATCTTCCTATACTATAATCAGTTGCTTTCATGGTGTGCCCTTCAGTGCATCTCGGGGAAATGCTATAAAGTTAAGTTATCTTCTCTATCTTGCTTCAAGGAAGGCTGAATTGGTCCAATCAGTCCTCCTCCCCATGTTGTATTTGATTCTGCCATAAAGACCAATGAAGTCTGCCTCTGTTATCTTGGGAGGCCAGTTTCCCTTTTCTCTTTCAGGGGATTCATGCCTCTGAGTAGCACTGGACTTGAAACAGCAGGAGTCACCATCTTTATTGTTAGGCTTCAGAATTTTCTAAGCACATTCTAAATCCAGTTTCATGCCTTTTCTACTTTCTTCCAGTCTGTGACAAAGGTGACCCAATTGTGTTTCTTTGATATTATGAGTGCAGTTCTTTGTGTTCTTGTCACAGAGACATATAACAAAATACAAAGGATAAAATTGTGTCTGTCTGTATAATAGGAATACTTAACTTCATGACTAAAGTGATATAATTTTAAAACAATGTTGTCAGTAAGGCCCTAGTGGTGCAGGTTTCTAATCTCAGCTGCTCAGAGGGCCGAGGCAGGAGGAGTGGAGGTTCACTGCCAACCTAGACTACAGAGTGAGTTCTAGGACACCCTGGGTTATCTAGTGAGACTCATAGAGCTTTTGCTCAATGTTTATGAGTCCCTAGGTTCAGTTCCAGTACAGGGAATTGGGGAGGTAATTTTATCAGCTCATGATTGGGAGCTAACAGGCAGAGACCACTTTTCAGGGTTTTTTTTCTTTCATAGTACTAAGATATGGTTAAAAAATAATCGAACTAATGAAAATGTCACATTGATAGAGTAGCCCACATAAGGATTTTACTTCAAGAAGACATAATTTGGTGAATGTGACTTTGACAGCAATGGTGTTAGGGCTTACAGAGTTAGTAAAATGAACTCAGAAGAGTATTAAAGTGTTCCCATTGGAGTATATCATTTCTCATTTAATTTTTACAGCCATAAGTGAACTTAAAGAATTAAGGAATTTTAGCTTTAATACCTGTCTAGGTGAAGAACAAAGAGCTTTTTCTTTATATCAAACTCTGATATGAATTTATAACATACTACTGCAAAAGAAATAAGTTAATTGAACAGTATAGTAAAAATGCATATACCTGAGGCCATTAAAATATGCAAGTTGTAAACTGCATAGCATTGATGCCTTTCTCAGCAAATAAACGTGTCAGGTTTAAGTAATTAAAAATGTGTGAGAAAGCGGAAACAGAGTAGAAACCAGCAAGAGTTGTAAGCAAAGAGGCTATAGTGTCAGTGAAGACTCTGCTTAGCTCTGTGGTTATTGGACAAATATTCAAGCAAATCTGCAATGAATGGCAGCTCTGTTTACCATGACAGGCTTTATTTGTCTTGGGTGCAGCCAGGAGCACATGCTGTGTTTTGTCATGTTGAGAGTTCGGAAGCTGTTTTCTGTTGTGGATGTGAATTTCTTTTAAAGCCTTAACACCTCAGTCTCAAGTCAGCTAGTAATGTTTCCCTTTCCTTTCTAACCCAACATCCCTAAATCTTCTATCCCTCCACAGAAGCATGTAGCTGCAGTTCACTGTCCTGGTTATAGTCTTGGCACACTGCTATAGAAGGCCTCACCTTCATTTTCAAGGACTGTATCTCTACTATTTATAAAGCTTATTTTACATTTACATCTCCATACAGCGTCTTTAATACCGTCTTATTTTACATGAGAGTGCCATTGATGACAGAGTTCTTCCAAATCCAATGATACAGAAATGTCTACCTACCCATTATATGTTGGGTCAATTGCCTATGCCTAGAGATGTGGGGTGAATAAATACTTGCCTTTAACATTTAGTTTTCTCCTTCCTTTACATCATATGTACTCAGTCAAAGCTGTATCTTCAGCTACATTCACCTTTTGGAGTTTGATTCTGTTGAATTCACAGAAATTGTGGATGTCAAGGTTTAACACTTACTAGAGAGACTCACAGAATATTTTGGCATTGTTTATGTTCACTTTGTAAATAGCAGCTTCCTGCAGAGTTCATATTACATTCCTTCTTCTTAGATTGCCAGGTCAGTTAGTTAGCAGGAAAATCTGGGTACAAGTGGAAGGATAGAGGCTAGTGAGTAAAGGAAAGATCCTTGCTTCCATTAATCAGTGTCTGGGCTTTTGTCCAGTGGGTTGGTAGTTTTTTCTAAAGTCCTCTCATTCTGTTGGAAATAAGTTTAAGGCTAATTTACAGAGAGCAGAGAAGGGTAGCCAGAGAAGAGTAGCACTTAATAAAGCCATGCTCTGTGAAGTCGGGCACAGGGATATGAAATGGTGGCACTACCAACTGCAGTGCCTCAGTCCAAAGTCAATAGACACCCCGAAGAGCAGTAAGTAACTTGTAGTTTAGAGACAGGCCTAAAGAATGACTGCCGTCCACACTGAGTAATTGAGCACAGGTGAGATTACAGTAGGAGGGCAAGGTCACTTTAGTATTTTAACACTCAAACAAATATTTAAGTACCTATTATGTGCACATTGATTGTGTATACTGAGAAATACTGGTGTGAACAATACCTGTTCTAATAGAGCTGCACTGTAGATGAAGGGACATAAATTGTAAGTAGTAAGGGGCATCCTGAAATAGAAACATGTATAATAAGGTTATGCATTAGGTTGGTTCATAAAGATATTATGGATATGAGGATGGGGAGTTACTGGCTGGCCAGCATTGCGAAGGTGCTCAGTAGACTCTTCAAGGAGATGACGTGAGTCCTAGGGCAAACTAAGGAGAAGCTGTGTGTTCTTCATGTGGAGAAAGAGAGCAAGTGCAGTGCTACTGGTAAAGAAGCGGTCTCTGGGCATTCGAGGATTAGGTGGAGACTTTTCACAGTTGTCACTTGCCAACATACAGGAGGAGAAAGTGGTAGGCAAAGTTGGAGAGGGAAAGTGAAATTAAGAAACAACAATCCCAGGAAAGTTCATCTTGGTAGTAGTGTTTTACACATGTTTTACAAGTGAAACTGTACCACCTATAAATTAGACTGAAGGATCAACTAGGAATAATAGGGTGTCTTAGTCAAGCAGAGTAGCAGAATGAGGGAGCTTCAAAGCCCAGTGTTTGACATGCTGCTATTAAACTGTTCCTTCTGGAGTCTCTCCAGTAAAAACACCGGTGCGTTTATGTATGAAGCTTTTGAAAATCATGGCACTCTTCTTTTTAAGCACTTCTTAAGGGGCTGAATAGACTTTTTTTCCTGACAAGTTAACTCAGACTGATTCTCTCTTACAGTCTGTCTCCCTGCAGCTTTGAGCGTCTCCATTTCTTCCAGTGTGGGAGAGAGATCTTAGAGATGGCTTGCACTGTCAGGTGTGCCATTTGCTTACTACTTCTTTTACCATGGAAGGGAGGCTGGTGTTGGGTGCATACCAATAAGAGTAAACCATCCTTATGACTAAAAACCATCTCAGGACACTTCCATTTTTAGGGAGTCATCAAGATGCTAGCAACATCTGCAGTTGAAATTTAATTTCATATTCAAATTAACAAAGTCACGAAATTGGCTTACAGAAACAAAATGATTAGGTATTAAACGAATCCATAAATAGTGTTTGGGGTTTTTTGAGTTTATTTTTGTTTTTGTTTTCGATGTTGTGGTTTGGTTTGGTTTAATTCTAAGTTCTGTTTTGCCTGGAATACAGTGAATTTATTGTGGACACTTGCCAAACATCTGGGCCTCTCTGACACTCCTGGACTCCAAGATACAATTCTGAAACTTTCAAATTCAATCATAAGCTTGCAAATTACTGCTTGTATTCTAAAGAGCAGAGTCGATGGTGCATTAAGTTTATTGGCTTATTTTTCTTTTGGCAGAATTAAAATGTGCTGGTTTCAAGGAAATAGCCTGCATATTGCCAAATCCTCCTTAGGACTCTTGCGAAATCTCTCTGCCTCTAACACAGCGCTGCCTGTGCTGACCTTATTCACAAAGGTACTGGGTAGAAAACTAAAATTACAACTTAAAAAGTGTTATCATAATTGGGTGTATATAAACTTTAGAAATGTAAGATCAAGTGACAACTCAAACTTGTTATAGCTTTGTGCTTAAGCATGTTTGTGACAGATGGTAAAAGTGCTTCCAGAATTGTTTGGGGGGTTGCAAATTGTTTGGGGTTAGTCAAATTCACAAAGAGAGAACCAATGAATAATGAAGATTGTACTTGTCTTCTTTTCTCTGGCAGTACTATTAAGCCACAGAGGTTGTGTGCGTGTGCGTGTGTGTGTGTGTGTGTGTGTGTGTGTGTGTGTGTGTGTAACAGAGAGATGTGTGAGCATATGCCTTCTATGTATTTGGGTACATGTGTGTAGGTGCAAATGGAGGCCTGAGGTTGATAACAGTTTTCCCTCAGTCACTCTTCACCTCATTCTTTGAAGCAGGGTTCTCTCAGTTGACTCTGCCTTATAAGCACTGGACTTCCAGGCAAGCCACCATGGTCACCTGGCATTTACATGGGTCCTAGGAATCTGAACTCCAGTCCCCAAGTTTGTACTTGTGAGACTTGTACTTGTACTTGTGTTTAACCACTGAGCCTTGGTTCAGAATTTTTACGTTTTTCACCCTGTTAATTTGTAGTCCAGTAATATCTTTTTGCTAATTGACATCACTTCCTGGAATTTATAATCAAAAAGAAACGTGACATCAGAAGTTATGTTCTTACACAGAGTAATTCAAACAGAAAGTCTTTTTGATAGGTTTTATTGATGGATTTTATTCTTTTGACAATTTAAATTTTGACAGTTATCTGATAACAAAGTCTGCCAGTTGTGATGGTCCACACCTCTGTCCCTCAGCACTTGGGAGTCAGGGTGAGGCAGGAAGATAGCAAGACTTTATCTGAACCCCCAACAATATTCCATTATCCGAGACAATAGTCCCCTAAAGCTAGCTGTTCTTACTTGGTCTATGATTGCCATGCACTGTTTTTTGGTTCCAACAGCAGTTGAGATATCCAAGAACATTTTCAGGAAATAATCAAACAAATTATTCCATTATCTTATCCACTATTCTATTCATCTTAATATACTGAACCCTATAAAGTATATAATAAGATATGAGTAGTGTGCAGTCCAGTAAAAGAAGTACAAAAGTTAAGAACTTGTCCTTTATCTATGACAAGTAGTAGAGTGCACTTTCCTGATTGAATTTAAAACAAGAGGTTTTCTGGGTTGTTTTGGCCTCTGGTTCCAGGGAATGCTGAGTGCTTGATTTAGGAAATAAGGTTACCAGTATCTTCAGCTTTGTAACTTCTAGGTTAAATTCATCTCCATATTGGTTCTTCTCATGTATGACTGCAGTAACCCCAAGCCCAATCTCACATCTCACATATCTATAGAGCCTCAACAGAAGGCTTGGGACTATTTATGGCTCGGATTGGCCCACCCCTGAGCCAACCATAGGCATCGAGTTAGGATGCCCTGATTGCTTGACCTGTGTCAAGTGTTACACCTTTCTTGCTTAGAGATGGAATAAGACACATGACAAGAATAGTTCCTATGGAACAAAACTATAGAATTCTTGCTATAAGAAAGGGGGGTGGGTGTTAGATAGTAAACAGTTCAAGAACAGAAGAATAAGAAGTGCTGTGGAGAATCCTCAGAAAGGCCATATTTAACCATGGGCCTTACTTACCCTTTCCAAGATGAGCTTCTTCACAGATACACACTAATGTATTTGCAGTAGTAATCTGCACTTCCACAGAGCTGATTTTCAAAAGTAAAACACCTGTACTATACTCTTCTCACGCCTCTACCAAAAAGAAGTATGTTTGGTACATCTGTACTTGGCACATTCTTGTTTGGCCTTTTCTCTTAAGCTCTTATGTTAACCTTTTGACACTTCCTCAGAAAATTTTAGCATGATTGTCTTACAGTAACAAATTATCCACCGTCTGTTTATTGTTAATGCTAATAACAATTTGATGAGCTGAACTGGCCAAAAAAGATCTAGAAATATCCAAGTCCTTATTTCAAAGCATGCTCTGAATTAAGCTGAAAAAAAAAAAGGCCTATCTTTTATGTAATAGCTTATCTTTTCCTAATACATTAAAAAGCAGCTTTTACACAAGCAACAGTAATGCTGAGTCTGTTTTCAGCTCACATAAGAGAACCTGTGGCTAGACTCTTAGGCACATTGGCTAAGAGACCTTTAATAACTGTCAACCTGTTCTTCCCACCTTCCTTACAAGGCAGTTGAAGAGTAAAACAGCAGTGGGTCCTAGCATTTGCCTATGCTTCAGGTAAAACATTAGTTCATTGTGGATACCTGTAATACTAAACTAGAAAAAAAAAAAAACACGATAAAGTGCTACAGTTATTCATCTGAATTGAATTTTTTTCTCTCTCTCCTTTTAGGGGTAGAAGAGTTACTATTTCACTCTTTCCTGTTAGAATTTTTCTTCTGGAGTGATTAGGAAAAACAGTACTCTCCAGTAAGAAAAGACTTAAATCATTTAGGTCCATTTTATGAGGTGACCAAGGTGCTTTTCACTCAGGAAGTACAGAGCCCTTAGCCAGGTAGACAGATCAGATAAAAACCAGGAACATGTAATATACACACAAACATACATGCCAGTAGGTATATACACAAATATGAGGAAAATAAAAATAACCAAAAAGTGCAGAGAGCCAACTATCATGCAACAGTAGTGAGTTATGAGATTCTGTGGTTATGTTTTGCTTTGGAAGTAAAGCAGTACAATTAACCTAGTAGAAAACTATCCTTTAAAATTAACATGCTTCTGGTGTGTGTTTGGTTTTTTTCTTGGGTGGGGGAGATGGTGTTATACCAAACATCTGTCTTTGGGTTTAACATCTTTTGTTCTTTCTGTAGGATCCATGCCCACTTTGTGATGAAGCCAAAGAAGTACTCAAGCCTTATAAAGACAGGGTAACTTTCATGTGTATGGATGGGTTGGGTATAGTTTACTGTATAAAGTGTCTGTTTGGATCCTTTCTTTAGGAAAGAGCTTTAAGGATTTTCCTTTAGAGTTTGTTTCTATTCCTCAGAGAGTTTATTACTGATTTCCATGAAACTCATTACCTGAATATTACTGGATTATTTTTTTTCTTGTTCTGATTCTTACTATAATCCAGAGTTAACTATCAAGAGTGTTCATGCTTACTTTGGTCCCATTGCTTTTACTTTGTAACTTCCATGATGCATTTTCCTTTAGCAAACCATTATTGCTTGGCTATTCTTATGTCCTGATTTCTAGGCAACTTCCCAGACGGAACATATTTTATTTCATCAGGAGCAGAGCAGAGCCCTACTGCTGAATAGAGAAGATGTAACCAAAATGTAGGGAAATCAGGATGTAGAGTACAACATAATGAAACCAGCCAGGCTTTGTAAATTTAGGCCACTGGATTACTAGGGGCCTACTACAAACAGGAGGAAACCTGGGAGCCTTACGTAGTCTGTGGTTGGCATAGCATTGCAGTGGTTGCATTGCTCCATGGTCTATAGAATAGTGTTTTAACTTATCTGTGTTTTAGTTTATTTTACAGGAGGTGGACATCACACTTCCAGAAAATTCTACATGGTATGAAAGGTATAAATTTGACATCCCCGTTTTCCATTTGAATGGCCAGTTTCTGATGATGCATCGAGTCAATACCTCAAAGCTTGAAAAACAGCTTCTGAAACTTGAGCAGCAGGTGCTGGAGACAAACTGACATCTCATGATTTTCACCCTTACTATCATAAGGCATCTGCCTGAGCGTATGACCAGGATCTCGGATTTCCTTGCCACTTTCACCAGAGCACTTACAAGGGTATCACATGAATATTTTCCATTACTCTTCTGGTTGATGCAGTACCATGTGAGAACAGTTTGCTTACAGGCATTTTGTGAACTAAGAGGACTGCATTGTAGGGAGGGGGAAGCTGTAGGGAGGAAGAAATCTAGTTGTTGAGTTAATTTTTCTCTCTTTTTTTTTGTGACTGCAGACAGTACTGGACAGTGCCAATATAAAGCAGGCCCCACAGTCCTGCTGCTAAGCAGCTCTGGAACCTAAATTTAGTGGAGTAAATGTCCTTCCACTCACTAAAGTGGAATGTGAATTGTTAATAACTGTGCATAGTCAATAAAGGGATGTTTTAATGAATACATCTGCATGCAGCCCATTTCAGTAGAATTTAACAATACCTGTTTAAAATTAGCGTTCACTTTTGTTGAGCAGAGTAGAATAATTATCCTAGCCAAAAAGGCTTCACTTTCAGAAAGACAAAAGAGACTTAAACCTCCAGTATGTGTATAACAGTCTCAGCTGTACATGTCACCATGGAATTGATGTGTAATACTGAGGACTGTCTTAAGTTATCATCAATTAAGTTAATTCCACTAATTATAAGATAGTAACTGTCAAATTTTTGTATCTTTGGAAAATTCATTTTAATCATAACTGAACATATGTACCATCTAAACCTAAAGTACATTTTATATAAAGTGTTAGAGATGTGATTTTGTACCTTATTTATATTTTGTCAGATTTGGCAAACATCAGAATGGAATCACTTAAAAACAAAACTGTCTTTTTCTCTTAAATCACGTCCCTATAAAGTTCTGCTGTGAACTGTTTGGATATTATAAGCCACGAAATCTATAAGTGCTCAATGTGATTTAGTCTTAGAATTATAGAATATTGCAGCCCACCAGCATTAGACATTGTCCTTATATTATATATGAGAAAGAATGTAGAGTTCAGGAAGATGGAGGGACTTGGTCCATAGTCACCTAGCCGCTGGGCTATGTCTTGCCTAGAACCCTGGCATTTCTAATGTTCTCTGGACTTCTGTAGTGGTTCAAATACAGCAACTCCAGCCACTGTGGGTTCAACACAGAGTAAGTCCTCCAAAGTTACTATTAAAAAAAAAAGCGCCTTTTAGTGGCTGGAGAGATGGTTCACTGGTTAAGAGCATTTGTGGCTCATCCAGAGGACCCAGGTTCATTTTCCAGTACCCACATATTGGTTCACAAGCATTCATAACTCCAACAGGCACACACGTGGTGCATGTCCATGTATGCAATCAAATATACATAATACCTAGAGTAAAACAAATAAGTCTAAAAGATTAAAATTTAAAAGCCTTATAACTGAATAGAAGTGCTCATAGTTTATACATGCTGATACTATATTCATTGAGCCCTGTGGTACACAAACTTCTAGAATTACCCTAGTGTCCTCACCCTTGTATAACTCCCTCCTCTATGAGTGTGGGTAGAAACGTTTTTGGTGTAGCTATGTTATATTAAATGGCAAAGGAGGAGGGGTTCAGAGAAGTCAAAGAGGTCATTTCTAGATAACCTAGAAGCAAAAAAAATATCTGTCTTGTGAACTGCCTGTTTGGGTCCGCATAGCAAGAAACTGGGGGAAGTCTCTAGGAAGTAAATAGTTCTTGGGACAAAACCAACAGGAAAATGGAAACATTAGTCATAACTTCAAGGAAGTGAGTTCTGCCACTAATCAATGAGCTCAGAGAATCTCTAACCCTGAGTAAGAACTGCTGCCCTAGACAGTGAGTTTCTGATCAGAGAATTCAAATACTTCAAGCCAGACCCTCAAACAGTAGGTTTGGACATAAAGCCTGGAATTTGGCTCCTCTGAAGCAATATTCTGCTTAGTATTACCATGTGGTCATGGTATCTAGGAAGTGCAGAGACTAAAGGTAAAAGAGTGCTTCATCAGAATAGTTTCAACGGTAAACGTTTTTTTTTTTTTTTAAACAAAAATTCTACAATGTTGCTGGATGCAGTGGTACACACCTTTATTTCCAGCACTCGGGAAGCAAAGCAGGCAAACCCCTCTTGAGTCCAAGGCCAGCCTCTACATCGTGAGCTCCAGTCTAGCCAGAGCTACATAGTAAGACCCTTTGTCAAAAAAAGTACTTACTTAGAAGATATTCAAACTAAGGTATTGGCTAAGACATTTTTAAAAATTATTGAATGCCATTAAAGTCATTATTGAATGTCCAGAAACTATTAGATCACATCAAGAATTGTGGGAAATTGAGGAGAGGCTATTGAGAGGGTTGGAAAAAAAAAAAGTTAAAAAAAAATCGGCTGTCACTTAGTTTCCATTAAATTAAATGTATGGGGTCATCTTCTAGCAAGAGAGAGGGCTGTGAGAGTATCAGAAAGCTGGATGTATGTCCTGAATGAGAATACAGTGGTCTATGTTTTAGGCAGTCATTTGAGACAAGGGCAAGCATCTTTGCTGTCATGAAGGAGCTATAATTTTGTTTGTTCAGAGAAGTGTGATTGTCTGTCTTCCCTGACCAAATGTGGACCAAGCATAAAAGAACTCTGGTATAAGATACCTTTTGTATAAAATTAATTATATATGTTTTAGTATATATTATTTTATGATAGATTTTATTTTTTATGATAGATTCTATTTTATAATAGAATATTATAAGCTCACTATAGCTATTCCATATTCTGAGCATTGATTATGTAGGCCTAATGTTTTTTTACTTATAAATTTCAACAAATTTACTTTTCATTTGAAAGAGAGTTGGTTATGTGATAAAGATTCCTAGAAATCTTCAGCAATCCTTCTGGTCCTCTTAGCTGGTAAAGAGAAAGGCACATACCTAGAAATGTGGTTTCTAAAGGGCAATTTGATTATGCCACTTGACTAGTATCAGAATGCCTCTTGCAGTCATTTTCCTGTAATATTTGTAGCAGAAGGTACTTGTCTGAAATTATGTTCACAGAATTATTTGTTCTTATGTAAAGATTTATACCATAAGCTCACATATACCCCCATAGTGATGCAGCCTTCCTTTTTTCTCTCTTTAACTAAGACTTTAAGAAGGATCAGGAGGAACACGGAGTTTGGGTCTTGGTGCTTTCGAATAGTCATGCAGTCTCTTCCTCACAGATCCTTCATTGCAATGTTGTAAGAACTTACTGGAGTACTGTTTGGACAGTTCATTTGAAAAAACAGAACTCACTTATGAGAGGGTTTTGGGTTGGTTTTGGTTTAATAATGTAACGACTTCATGGGCATCTACAACAGAAATTACAATGCAGCGTGCTGTTATAAACCATGGGAGGCAGATACCGCTGCCCCCTCACAGTGCCCTGGCTCCCTTTTCTTTCATTCTCTCTAGGCTCTCAGCTCCCCTGCTCATACACTCTATCTCCTTTTGCAAAGCTGCAGCCTGCCCATGCCCATAATTCCTTCTGAGATTTCTATTCAGCAGTTCAATACTCTGAGCGACTTATGGCCAACTCCTTTCAGCTTCTCTATTTTGAAATCTCAGTAGAAATGTTACTCATTTTTAAAACAGCCACCAAAATTGTAAGATGGGTGAATGAAACTATGGGAGAAGCCACCTTTGAGACAGGCCAGTCTGGTGACCAAGGTCATGTAGCATGCAGATCACAATCATAGTCCTGTCCATTGATCAGAGAATGGAAGCAGGACAGGCAATAGTGATCAGTAACTGGCATTCATGCGAGACATTTAAGATTTGTTTTGGTATACTCATCAAAAGTCAAGAGGGACAGTGAGGTAAGTTTATAAACCACTTTGTGGAAACATTTGAACTGTAATGTTCAGCAAAAAATATTATCAAGAGCTTAATATTTGGCTGTTTGGATTGTTGGAAAGGTGGGAGAAGTTTGAGAAACATAGCTACAAGGGCTCGGTGGCTGGCCAGTGTTTGGGGTTTGGCTGTTGGATAAAACCTGGTTTTATTACCTGTTCCCTGAGACAGAAGGTAGATGAGAAAGTTGGGTTTTGGTTGTGTTTGATGGCTAGGGAAAATGAAACATGGTGAATTTGCCATACTGCAGGACATCCAGGTACAGATTGCAATCCAGAGTGCAAACTGTAGGTCTAGGTTTGAAGTTCAGATTTAAGAGCCACAGGGGTCTGGTTGGAATTTCATCCACTTGTCATATTATGAGGGAAGTGAGTGGGTAAGTCATGGAGTATACACAAAAATAGAGGCATTTGCCAGGGATGAATGAGAGATGACAGAACTGGAAACGGTAGGAGCTCATCCATTTTCTGTTATGTGATAGGTATGATTTGATAACACCAGCAACTATTTCAAGCACCGGGGCTAGCACACCAAACCTGATACAGAAGTCCTTCTCCCAGGGGCTTGTAGTCAAGAAGGAAAAGTACCACATCAGTGGAAACACAACTGTCTCCTCAGAAGAGGGCCTTTCCCACAGTACCAATAGCTTTAAATATCAAGAAATTTAGGACAGGGACTGAAGAAACTTCAGATTTGAAATGAGGAAATTAGTGCTACCATAAACCAAATATTCCCCAAGATATTTGGGTCCTTCTTCCCGGACTTGGGAATGTTACTTATAGTGAGAAGGAAGTGTGGTGACTCTTATCATGGAGAAATCCTATTATCCACACTTAATATCATGTCTCTATAAGAGGGAGATGGGAGATTTGCTTGTAGAAAAGAATGGAAATGAGGCAATAGAAGCAAGAGGTTACCCTGATACAAGAAAGAAGTCATAAGCGTAGGAATCTTAGTGACTTCTGGATGGTAGAAAATGCAAAAGGTCAACAGTAGTCCCCTGGAACAGTGGTTCTCAACCTGGGGGTCATGACCACTTTGACAGGGTTGCCTAAGACCATCAAGAAGCACAGATATTTGCATTATGGTTCATAACACTAGCAAAAATATTATGAAGTAGCAACAAAATAATTTTATGGGTGAGGGTCACCATAACATGAGGAACTGTATTAAAGGGTCACAGTGTTACAGGTTGAGAATCACTAATATAAAGCCTTCAGTGTGAACATCCTTGATGACACTTCGGAACCATTGCAAGTTATTTTTGACTTCTAGATTACAGAAGTGGTTTGAATGAAAAACGTCCATGGGCTCATGTATTCGGTGGTGCTGTTTGGGAAGTAATGGGACCTTTAGGTGCAGCCTTGTTAGAGGAGGTATATCACTGAGGGAAGGTGGTGGGGAGGGTGTTACAGCCTTGTTCTACTTTGTACTTGCACTCTTTCTGCTTCCTGTATGTGTTTGAGATGTGAGCTCTCAGCTTCCTACTCTAGCTGCCTGCTGTCATGTCTTCCACACCATGTGGATAACCCTCTGGGACCGTAATCCAAAAGAAACTTTTCTGTAAGTTGTTTGGGGTCATAGTATGTTATCACAGCAATAAAAAAAAAAGTAATAAGCATTATATGACATTACATTTCTGTTCCTTTAAACCACCAAAAATGTGCTCAGTTGTTACCATAGCAATAGGAAGTAGATGCAGTTGACATTGTAAGAACAGTTTTTGTGAGAAGGAAGAGGTAGAATAGAAGAATTACAGTAGAATGAATCAATAATCTAAAACATATCCATCTCCTAGAAAGTTTTCACAAATACCTTGTTTGAGCCTCTAAGAAAAAGTATTCAGAAAACATCTGAAAATTATCTCTGTCATCCCAGGCAGTATCAGGATAATAGGCCGCCTTCATCTCCAGCCTATCTTGGTAAAGGTTAGTGCCTAGCAGTAGAGTTCAGGAATACCATGGTGTTCCTAACCCTGGAAAGTAAACCATAACTCTTCTTGATCCACAGATACATGGCTCTTGTTCACCCTGGAGACCAGGATATGTTACACTGTGACCCTAACTACCTGCCACAGATGTTCTGTTTATGAATGCAGAAATACATGTTGACCTTGTGGGCAGAGCCAGCAAAGACTGGCCTTCAGTCAGTTTACTTTAGGCACTGATAATTGGCATTTCACTACCCTTCTGGTTCAAAGAAGATGACTACCATAGGCAACCTGAAATGTAAACCTTCAGGCAAGAGGAGAAATATTAGAGTCATACAACAATAGAATAGCAACACTGAATGCAATGCCTGTCAACAAAATAGAACAAGTCCAGCCAAAGTCCCAAATGAGAGTGAGAAGCACACCCTTTTCATATTGAAACGTTTTGTATGAGGTATGAGGGACAGAAAATTTTCTGTCCTTAGAAATGGGGTAAGTTGATAACAATAGAGACTCGAGTGCTTTTCTAACAGCAGAATGTAGAGACAATATGAGTTAAAGGCAGGTTGAGTCTGTGACCAAATTAAGCTACTCATGTGCATCAACATGTTGTAACTCCCCTCCAGAACCTAGGTTGCAGTGCAGGACTATGTTATCCAGGAGATCCCAGCCATCCTGAGTCCACACCACAAAGTCAACCCATACTGTGGCCGCTGAGGCAAGAGGAACAATTCTATTTTTAAAACTTTCTCAAAAATGAATAAAGAGAGCAGTGACATGGCTTGTGGATAAAGGCACTTGCTGCCAAGCCTAGTGACCTAAATTCACTATCTGGGACTCACATAGTAGGAGAGAAGCAATTCCCACAAGCTATCCTCTGGTTTCTACACATGTATGCATGCATGCACAAAATAAATAAAAGGGGTAAAACTTAATGGGTAAAGAGGTAGCAAGATGTCTCAGTGGCTAAAAATGCTTGCCACCAAGCCTGGTCACCTGAGTTCAATTCCCAGAACCCACAGGGTAGAAGGAGAAAACCAACTCCCACAGTTTGTCTTCTGATTTCCATAGGCATGACACACATGTGCGCATATGCAGAGAGAAATAAGTAAATGAAAACAATGACTCAAAAATGTCCAAATACATAATGGCACTAAGCTATCAGTTGGGAGGCTCTTCTACACAGAAAAGCTTATTTCTTGGACTGGCAAGTAAAGCGTTGCTCTGTGTTCTGTGTTCTGTGAATTTAATGCAGAGAAGAGAAAGGGTTTGGGAAGAAGGGGAAAGGAAAGGAAAAAGGTTGGGAAAGAACTGCCAGAGGAGCTGAGATTTAACTATAGCCCATCCAATAGTACTTTGTAAATTTATTCTCAAAGTCAGTGTCCCTCTGAAGGTTGGAGAAATTAAGATATTTGGAGCATACTGATTGGAGGATTTATTCCCATTGTGACTACTGACTTGTAGTATCAGTCTTCTGTTCTGCATGACATCTCTTGCCTTGCAAACGAGCAAGATCCCTGAATTTGGCAAGGATCCTTCTGTGTGAAGCATTTTCAAGTTAGGGATTTTAGCAGTATCAGATTTCTCAAAGGCAGAAATAGAGAAAAGGTAGAGGGTAGCAGTGCTGCAGAATTCTCCCCCAACAGCACAAGGTAACCTCCTAGCTGGAAGATGCAAGCTACCACCTTTCTAGTGTTGTCAGGGACTTTGAATTAGACAGTCCTAAATCTCCTCACCTTATCAATAGGTAAAACTTAGTTCACATGTTCACCTCTTACCCTATTTATGTGTAGTGGTATTTTCTGTTTAGACATAGAGTGTATATTGTATAGATGTTTTGTAATCTGCACAGAGTGAGGCCAAATGATGCCTTCAACTGTAATAGAGGACACTGTTGCCATTTTAACTAAATTGTCCAGTGGAGGGAAGAAGAGTAAAGTTGATGATTTTGAATACTTAAGAAACATCACTTTGCCACTGGTGCAGAACCTGTAATTATGTGCAATTCCCTGCTTAAGACTCTTTAGTTATGCTGAACAATTGAAAAAAAAAAAAACCTAAATAATGGGAAGGAGAAAAGAAGGGAGCTTTAAACACTTAATACAAGATGTTCATTTAAATAGAGGCATTGCCTCACCATAAGGGAACAGTCAAGGGTCTGATAGCCCCACTGGCATACTATTATCAAGTCATCATCTTTGAACCATGGATTTGCAATCCTTCTAAGTCTTCACCATTATTTTGGAATGAGGACTGGTTCCTTCTGTTCACAAGGCATGATCATTTTTCATTGATATCTTTTTAATGCTCTGACTTTTTTGCTCTCTACAAAAGATAACTCTTCAAGCCTCGGAAAGGAGTCTTTCCATGTGATTTTTTTTTTATCACTGACACAGCACTATCAGATTAGAGAACGTGCCTTACCCAGTTAGAATAGTTTTGTGATGGCCATAGTCCTAGGAACATAGTTGTGGGTTTCAGTAAGGTATGTTCAGCATAGGCTATTACAGGCTTTTTCTGATTCTGGTCAGGAAATGTCCTCTGAAACCTCAGATTGACAAAGGGGATTTTAATTTTATGTATTTATTTGTTTGTTTGATGGTTTGCTTATTTTTGGTGTCCAAGTCAGTGGTCCCCCCAAAAAAGAGGGAAATCCTCCAAATGAGAGACACAATAGACAGGATGATTTGCAGAGGTATTAGTTGCTCTTTCCACCAGTGCCCAGACACCTGAAGAAAGCAAAGGAGGAAGGATTTAACTCAGGAAGACATGGCTAAGTGCCTCCAACCACACAGGAACTGGGGCAGGCTTCTTACATTTCAGTAGATCAGGAAGCAAGGACAAGTGCGGCTAGGCTGTAACACATAAGACCTGGCTAGGCCCCACCTCCCAGAAAGTTTCCACAACCTCCCAAAATAGCACTGACATCTGGGGACCCTGTATTCAAACACATATGCCTATGGGGACAGTTCACTTTCAGACTGTAACCCAGTGTCTTGACCTTCTCTGATTCCTAGCGGCTTTGTGCACACCTCACACTGGAGACAAGTTTATACCAAAAAAAGGTGCTCTGTCCTGTGTGCAAGCTTTTAATCCCAGCACTCGGGAAGCAGAGGCATGTAGATCTGAGTTCCAGACCAGCCAGGGGTAATATAGTAAAACCCTGCCTCAAGTAAACAGGTAACTAACTGGGGAAGAAGAGGCCAATCCAAAGATGAGTATGCTAGTCAGCTTTCTGTTACTGTGATGTCCTTTCTGAAATAATACACTTAAAGGAGAAAAGGCTAATTTTGGCTTATAATTTTGAAACTTTCAATACATTGTCAGTTGACTGTGCTGCATTTGGACCCATGACAAGGTTATGCATAGCAAAGTTCTCACCTCATGGTGACCAGGAAGGAAAAATGCAGGCCGAGTCCAAGTTCCTAATATCCTTCCCAAGTGCACAACCCCAGTGACTTACCTCCTTTCCACTAGGCCCTACCCCTTAGAAGATCCACCCCTTAAAAATTCCCAATATACCAGGCCTTTAACATGAGCAAATCACAGAACTATGCAGAGGCAATGGAAAATAACGCTTGAGGTTCTCCCTGACAAAACTTGAGCTGGGACTAAGAGGAGAAAGAAACTGAGGGTCTCAAATAGCTGAGAACTTAAAGATGGGCCAAGCCATTGGCTGATACAACAGTTGAAAAAAAAAAAAAAAAAAAACAATGTGTTCTTGGAACCAAGGACATTTATGCAAAAATCATACAAAAGAGGCCTCTTGCCAAAACTAGTTACATAACAAATTACATGACAGTCAGGTTAATTGTTTACTCATGATTCTCCACATAGCCAGTAGCAGCCATTTTAACTAACCCATTCCACATATCCATACCAGTGCCATGTTAAATAAACCTTTATCTGACCCTTATGGTCTTTGTTCCCTTTATTCCCACAGCTGTCTTTGGTAGGAAGAAGCCCATTCCTTACCTGAGACTCCCCTATTTGAACCTGCGATGTGAGCCCTCAAAGGTGACTACTTATATTCTAATCACAGGAGAGGACTGTCATTAGCTGTACTAACAGCTGTCATTGAAAATGACTTGTAATCATTGTTCACTGACAGGCTCAGGTGAGCATGTCTCACTGTTGTGTTGTAAATGGTGCAGCCTGCTTGGTAAACTCCCTTAAGGCATCTCTCAGGGACACTGTTCTCAAATTCAACAAACAGCAGGCAAGTGCCATTGCAACACCTTCCAAAGCCCACAGAGGAAAACTTACTAGGTAGATCCCAGAGAGCATACCACCATTCACTGGAAGAAGTGATTTCTGTTGTTGCTCAGGATCTGGCTGCCTCTCCTCCTGGTGGAAAACAGCTAAGGCCTTACACCATTAAGAGGAACACCAGTCCTTGTCTCCCTTACCCATGAGACTTCAAGGCTTTAGCTCTTCCCTGCTGAGCACTTGTAAGGGAAAGTTAAATGTGTGATACACTCAGCCTGTGCTTTTCAGAGTCGTTGCACCCTTATTAGAAACAAAACAAAAAATGACATAGACACCTGTTGATGAGGCCTGAGCCAAGTAGCAGCGTGGGTGGTGGATGGGCGGTGTTTCCCAGGCAGTAAATGCAGGCTACTCACACCAAAGGAAGTGTTTCTATGGAAGCTATCTGAGTAAGTAGTAAATACTTAGTCATTTAGGACAGGCCA